AGGGTTTTCGGCATCTTGTGCTTACTTCCTTGCGTACGGATGACAGCTGCGTATGACTTAATATATTTTCTGGTGCTCTCACTTCCTGAGACAGTTGTAAGCACGTTGTAACTGCCTCGAGGGTGCTTGACCATTCTAACACAACGTGGTGCGATCATCCCCCTTGCGCGGAGTGAGGGTTCTCCACCCCGCACAACATGATCTACTCGACCACCATTATGGTTGCCGCCAAAAAAAAAAAAACCGGAGGTAAAAAAAAAACGGTAACCAGGTTGCCGAATTCAAGAAGTGACTTGGCTTGTTTACAACGTCGTTGCCAAGAGACGNGGGGGGGGGGGGGGGGGGGGGGGGGGGGGGGGGGGGGGGGGGGGGGGGGGGGGGGGGGGGGGGGGGGGGGTCGCAGAACCCAAAGGGCGGTGAGCACCTTGGTGAAGATGTGCTAGAGCGGAAGGAGGTACGAAAGGCCGTTCTGCGATACAACCCCTCAGAAAGCTTCGTTAATCCTGCCGCCACGATGGTGTCAACTTGTTCCTTTGAGTGAGCTTTTGCTTTCGCACGGTGGTGTCCGGGTCAAACTCTACAAGCGCGGCAAATAACCCTGGGACATGCGGACAGAAGAAGAGCAGAATTGTGTACCAACACCCTTCGCAGCTTTGAGCAAGGGCAAAAACGCTCAAGTCGACGCATATTTCCGACACTCGATTTGAAGACGGCAACTTGCAAACTACGCTCACTGGAGATATTTGCTGTTGTCGTAGTCTAGTCATATCCGGGCCATCTCGAATAAGGAGACATAATACACAACATGAACAGGCAAAACAACACCAACACCAACACCAACAACGAAAATGACAACGGCAAGTAGGCAGGGGCATGAAAATGCAGTATTAATAGGAGCTCGTTCCTTCACGGCCAGAGACTGCGGGCGGGCGGTCAGCAAAAAACTCAAGCTCCCTAACAAACCGTAAGAGTACCGTGAGACGCGGAGAGATGGCAACCCTCCGAGACCGGTTTTCAAAGCTTGATTGCTCCACAACCAAGATTGTCTGAACCGTACCGTATACCGTACCGTGGTATTCCGTACGAGGCGGAGAGATGGCAACCCCCCTAGACCGGTTTTCAAAGCTCGATTGCTCCACAACCAAGATTGTCTATACCGTACCGTATACCGTACCGTGGTATTCCGTGAGAGGCGGAGAGATGGCAACCCCCCTAGACCGGTTTTCAAAGCTCGATTGCTCCACAACCAAGATTGTCTATACCGTACCGTATACCGTACCGTGGTATTCCGTGAGAGGCGGAGAGATGGCAACCCCCCTAGACCGGTTTTCAAAGCTCGATTGCTCCACAACCAAGATTGTCTATACCGTACCGTATACCGTACCGTGGTATTCCGTGAGAGGCGGAGAGATGGCAACCCCCCTAGACCGGTTTTCAAAGCTCGATTGCTCCACAAGCAAGCTTGTGCCAAGAGCAAAGATGTTACTTCGTACATGGTTTTGGAAACATCATCTCGTCGAGGGGTTTCTGTTGGGCTCTTTCCGAGCGAAGCCTTGGTTGCGGAGAAATTAGGCCTTGAAAGTTGGTGCAAGGGAGGCACCATCTCTCCGGCTCCTGCGGCACTGCGGTAAGGCCAGGGGATCAAAGTACAGTGGGTTCTCGAACAAGGTGGTCTGAATAATGTGGTCGCCGTATGCAAGGCGGGTGGAACATGGCAAGCACAGACGGCGAAATCAAGCTGTTACACACATTGCACGAGGCGGCTGCCCAGATAGGGCGGTCATGATGTCATGATCAGCTGCACCACTACCGCCTCTTATTCGGGGACCCCAACTGTGTAGCACTACTGACGGACCCTGACTACTCACCACCTCCGCCACCGTCATTGTCACCGTCATTGTCACCGTCATTGTCACCGTCATTGTCACCGTCATTGTCACCGCTTGCAGGGACAGGAGAAGAGGAAACCGAAGACGGCTTCTTGCCGTGGGCGCAGCGGGGGCAGAACCAAGGATCCGTCCCCAACGGGAGGCCCTTCAAAGGCACCGGGAGGCAGTCGTAGTGATATGGAGCTACGTAGAATACACACCCAAGGACGGGCAAAGGGGGTGGGGGGAACGTTGTCATGGTATTTGTGATAAAAGTCAATGCGTACACTGCGATGAAACAAGTGGGCAGATGCAGTCTGGGGGGGAAAGCGCCTCAGGGCGGGGAATGGGTGTTTACGAGTTGCCATAGATGGGAGTAAGATCGGCGATGAGGGGGGTGGGTCGGGGTGTGGCCAACGAGGGGGCGGGGGGGTACTCCTAGTCGCGCATGCCGTAGTCCTTAGACCATTGACCTCGCATCCCTACAAAGCCGGGACGGAGCACGCCGAGTGCTCACCGGACCAGGCTCACGAGGGGGGGGGGAGGGTATGCTTTTCTAGTTCATTCCAGCGGAGCAGCCGTCTACTTTAATTACGAAGCTGCGGGAGGAAGACGCCGACAGGGGTGGGGGTGGAAGTCGTGGTGGGTGTTCAGTGTTGTGCGTGGCTGTAGCATGGTTACCACAAGCGTTGTGGAATCCCCAAAAAATAGGGGCGGACGTGCGGGATTTCGAGGGCCAAGCGCACACCGCTGTGCTAACCTCGCCGAGGAGGAGGTTATGGAGGAAGAAGTAGGGCTTATTGGGTAATAGCCACATTTGTTCGTTGGACACGCGTCACCCCCTAGAGATATGGTTCACCGTTCCCTCTCCTACAAGAGACACTACACACACCGCCAGTACTCGGGCGCTTTTAGTTGCCTGCTATAGCAACAACAACGAACAACACGGGGTGATGGGCGGCGCATGTGTCTCAGGACCGCCTTCGCGAGAAAATTAAGCTTACGTGGCAATATTACACGGAGGGGGCCCCGCAGAACCATTCCCTAACCCTAACCCCAACTTGCCCCAACTTGCCCGATTGCATGCTACATCCAACATGTTTTCTGAATCGAATAACCCTGGGAAGGCTATTGGTTGGTGTCTCACTGCTGTTGCATCCGGGTCCGTCGCAGAGTAGGATCTTCTCGTCGTCATCCGTGCTGCCGCATGCGTTGCACCCTCTTACAGATAGCTCCGCGTTCTTGTCTAGCACGCAGGCATTGCAGTACCACAGCCATCGAGGGACCTGCGCATCGACACAAGCATGGCATGGCAGAATTTCACTGGAGGTAAACTTCTGTGCATACAACCAGAGCACAGAGCCAGTATGCGGCGGCAAAACTCGTGTGTACAAACAGAGAGAGCACAGCAGGTGTAACGGGGGCAAACTCCTGTATGTAAGCCGTTCCTCTCTTCTGTGACCCCTAGCGGCTGGTGCTTCCAGATATTGTGCTGAAATGTGCAACCACTTACGTACAGAAACATCGGACGACAAAAAAGAATTCAAAAAGCGCGGAACCGTCGCGCTGGGTCGAAAACCGGCACTGTTGGCAAAAAAAGGCAGTGCAAGGAGAGAGGAAAATTGCGGACTTGGGGGGGGGGGGGG